ATCTTGAGTGTGTAATGTAGGTACTGCTCTCTTGTGTTGTTTGTATTTCAATAGAATTTTTCTAAACATAGCTCCAGACAGTGAGTTTTTCTTAATATTTTTTCAATGAGATTTTGTTAAGAGAAAACAACAACATAAAAGAGCAGATAAAAACTATTGCCATATGAAGCAAGAAAAAGATAACATTTAAACATGCAAGTTACTAGGGACTTGGATTGCTGAGCTTGAACTGAAAAAAAAAAAAAAAAGACCTGTTACAAATATGACATCAAAGTATTGCTTACCAGTGAATGAGCAAATAGTATTCCCAAGCAAATGATAACTATTCAGTTATTGTAAGGAAAAATTCTCAGACATTTTGGAAGCTTACTGTAGGTTTGGTCGTATACTTGTCAAAGGACTCTATGTTGTTTAAGATAGCATACAAGATTTTGTGCAGATAAGCATCAAGTTGATGAAAATGTATTATTCTTGGTTTCGTCTAGCTTTACATTTCCTGGGCTGAGAAGTGAAGCAGAAAAATCAAATACTATAAAACCCATCCCTGACAAAATGCTTTCTTGTGTTTGTCTTGTGTGGCCCTTAGTGCATCTGGAAATGTAGCAACTGTCCTATTCTTTCTGGACTTGAATCCTCAGGGAGTGAGTGAGATTATCTTCTCTTCTGCTCATATTAGTATGCCTTATCTTTATTTTCTCTCTTGATTAGTTTAATGTGCATAGACATGGGTATTATCTGTGCTGTCAAGTCATCTTGAAGCTCAGACTCATCATTTAAGCTCAAACTTCCTGACTTTCCATATTGCCCATTTTGTAGTTCAAGCTCTGTCTGTGGCATGGGGTTATCTGGAGTTCACTGACCTGGGTCAATGCCTGAGACTTCACAGTAGGCAGCAAGAGTGTGGACATGGGCAGCAGGAGCTGTGGGGACTCCCTAGAACAGGCAGAGCAGCAAAACAAGGTGAAACTAGGCATGATGTTGGGGCTGGGCTGAGAGTGAGGATTGCACACAGAAATGGAAAGAAGTGCTCCTTTTCCATGGCTGTAGAAGAGCAAGGGATTCAGTACATCCCAAAGAGAAAGATTTTGAAAACAGACAGCTTTTACTAATTAGACACAGTATCTTTTTCCAGTATTTGTACTCTTTGTCTCCTCATACAGTTCTCTAGTTAGATCCAGTACAATTATTTGACATCAGACTTAGGGTTTACCCTTTGAACAGATACAGTAGAGGAGGATTCAGGTAGGAGATATTTTAGTTGTCTGCCAGAGAGAAGTTCCTGAATATGGAAACCACACTATGGTTAATCACTTCGCTTAACCATGCATAGTTTATTTAAAAAAAAAATTATGATTTCCTCTACTTTTATGGTTTCAAGTGAGTACTTTTTCCCCCTATATTTCACTTTTTAATTCTCATAGCACACCTATGTCAATGGCAATCTATTTACCTAATATGATATTCAAAGGGCTATACAGTAGAAAAATGAAAGAGTAAAATTTTCAGGTTTTGAACAGCTCTAAATATAGTTTCTACTATTTTTTTTTGTATTTTTACATAGATATTATACAATAATCCAGTTATCTGTGAACATTCTTTGTTAAGCAGGGGGGTGCTTACATATATATTTGCTTTGAAAACTCATAAGAGAAAACTTACATAAGAAAAAACACTGGGACTGCTAGTGTATGAACATATGATCATGCAAAAATCCTCACAGCTGTGACAGTTTTTCTCAAGAACTTTTTTTTTATCATAGAAATACAGAAACATTTAGGTTGGAAAAGACACTTAAGCATTCAAGATCATTGAATCCAAGTGTTAAACCAACACTGCCAAGCCCACTTCTAAAGTGTCTGTAAGATGACACATCTACATGTCTTTTAAATATTTCCAGGCATGGTGACTCAGATATTTTAAAAATATTCTGACTAGCTGACATCATGTTGAAGCAGCATCCTGACATGTTTCCTCATTACTTTATTAACCTCCAGGAGACAACATAAGTTACTAATATATTTCAGGACTCAGTTGAAATGTGGCCATAGGAATGAGAACACTGGAAACCAGATCTATGATGAAATGCAGTATTTAAAAGGGGAGACAGTATAAGCTGGCACAACAATTTGGTGTGTTCAAATGATTGTTGGCTGTTCAATGTACGGTTTATATTCTTACACCTTACTTACATTCTTAAATCCTTGTTTGCTCACCTTGAGTGTCCTTTCCCTCCTGCATGGGAGAAGTGTACTAAAATTAAACAAATATATGGCCCAAGAGTGATTATGTATAAGCAGTTTTTCTTCATTTCAGTGCTAGTTGTTTATGAAATATGCATGAGGCACAAAATTTGCATTTGCAGATGCTCATACATTGCAGATCCTGCATCTGTTGGTTAAAATCAAAACAGAACAACAGTAACAAGAATTATCAAAAACAGAAAATGGAAAACTTCGCCTTCAGAATCTCTTCAGTTAAATCTTGGGGGAATATTCAAAGCAATGCAGTCTTTGTATTGTAGTTGGTTTTTTGTTTTTTCTTTTTCCTTTTCCTGGTCTTTCAGAACTAGCCACTGAAAATAAAGCTTTTGTAGCAAGCTGTGACAAACAGTTGTGTTCATTGTGTGTTGAAATATTTCCTACTTGTCTTATCACCATGACTTTAACTTCTTCAGTGGATTTGAGACTTTGGTGGCTTTGGTTTCTGACACAAGCAGAGTTGTTCAATCTGTGATATAAGTTTTGATGCTTTGCTTTGTAATTTGATGAAGTTTGTAAAAAAAAAATGAAACCCCAAGGATGTTTATAATCAAAGCATGCAGATGCATCCCTCCAGGCTTGTCACAATCTGTGGCCTTCTTTTTTTGGTGCCATAATTCCATGATTATGTAGTACTGAATGCAAGGTTACACAAGAAAGGCACTTCTCACTGCAGTATCTGGGTTACTCTGCATTAGGAGGCTGACAAGTAAGAAGAAATGAAGGATCTGATGCTCTGTGAATATCTAGGACAAGTTGCATTGTAAAATTTTATTGATAATTAAAGTAGTGATAGAGCTTAATGAGGATATAAAAATTGTATGGTTATATTTCAGAGTTGAGTTTTTAAACCTATTTCAGCAATCTGAGGCTGAAAATGTATTTTGTACATTTAATTACATAATTTGTTTAAATAGTTTTCAGGGTGCCTAGAGGTTTTCATAAGGATGTTTCCTACTTCTTCAAAAATTCAATTTTCTTTCTGTTATTAAAGAAATTCTAATAAGATTAAGATTAGGTTAAGCAGAACCTGAAGATTTCAGATGTTATTTCTCTGGCAAGATGAAAGAGAGAGAGTTCTTTTTACACAAGAAGTCAGAGGGAACAGAAAGCAGCAGCTTTTTTCAACTTTTACTGTATCCCACAGTTTTTTTTACTCCTTTTGTCCACTGAAGTATGTTTTTCACCCAAAGGGTCTCATTCTGAACGCATTCAAAATAGATGCCACTAGAGGCACAGACCACAATGATTGTGGTTTTGGTGTCATGGATTTTAAGAGGATTTTAATGTTTCTAAAATAACTAGAAGCAAGTTGTTTCTATATTTAATATAGAATGTCAGTAATTATCAGTAATTGTGCCTTGTTCCTTTTTCATTGGATAAATTTTGGGTAATGTAAGTTTACTATGGGGAGATCTTGGAGGATGCAGGCAGTCCTCTGTATATTGGTAAAGTCTGTGAAATTATTAAAAGTATCTAATGCTACTGTGGAAATCTAAGAGTGATATAGCCATGTGTTTTTCTGCATTATGATCAAAAATCTGGACAAAATTTTATGACTAGTTCTATCTTACTTTATATGTGAAAGAACATGAGAAGTCAGACAATCCAGTTGTAACTGCTGTTTTTTCTGTTCCTAAAACTCAGTGTCATATGGGTTAAGAGTCGTAGTAGCCTGAGCTTTCAAAAAAATCCTGTAGGAAAGTTATGCCCACTACTCACTGAAGCACAAGACGACTTATCAGCAGTTAAAGCCCCTGTGGAGGACTGGGAAGCAAAATAAAAAGCCAAAAGCATTTTATTTCTCTTTTGCAATAACTCTCTCGATATAAGAATGTTTCACATTCGAATTAAGAGGCCAAAAAGCTTTTACCTTTATTTAGTTTTAAAATAATAAAAGCAAGTCAAAAGGTGTAGGAGGTCTACTAATAAGTTGAATAAGGTTATGATGGAACTTGGTTCCATCCTCTTGTCCTCACATACTTAATAAACAAAATCATAAATCTTGATGGAGTTACAGTTGTATCAGATTGTCTATACAATTTGTCAAATATTTTCTGTCTTTAATGTGCTGAAATAGTTTCACATGAGTAGAAGAGACTATTTAAACAAGGAACTGTTGTGGAAGCCAGAAGATGAGGGGCTAATGTGTACATGTCACACAGCAGCAATAACTGGGTAGCTGTAGAACCAACCCAGGGCTGTTGGTATAAGAACATGCTGTGCAAATAGGCAAGAAAGAACAGGAAATAACTGGAGATGGGGGCTATATGGAGGTAGGGCAGCACTTTCCTAGACAAAAAATTCTTTCTCTTGGAGATTAGCACAACAAACTGCAGTGCTATTGTTGGAATGAGGTCAAGAAGCTGACATGGACTGGTGGCCAAAGGTCACTACATAGGGAGCAACCATGACCACCAAAGACCCCCAAAGCCCTTCAGCTCACTTCTAGAATGGTCTCAAAGAGTGAACTGCACGTGGAAACTAATTAGCATAGAAAGGGAAAAACATAGCCCCAGGGTGGGGAAACCGGCTATAAAAAAGTACTCTCATAGAGCCCAGGTGGCGCAGCCCCAGGACACTGGACACCACCATCAGCTGGGTCAGGGCTGGAGCCAAGACTGATGGTCATTCTTTTTTCCTTCATTGCTGTTCTGTTCAAGTTTGAAAAATAACCTCTACATTTTAGTGTTAACATTTGTTGAAATCTTGTCCTTTTCTCTGATTGTCTCTCTTCTGCAGGTTAAGGTGCCAGCTGCCTGGACTTACCAGTTTCCACTCCTTTGGTTAGATGTCAACCACTTCTGATCCTTCACTTCTGAAAAATTTATCTCAGGTATGTTAATATTTCTCAGGAATATGTTGATGAACTTTTTTTGTAAGTTTTCTGTTACATCTTCCTTTTTACCTGCAGCCAAAAGTAATTATTGAATAAATTAATTTTCTGGCCAAATCCTTGTTTTAAATTATTTCCTCAAAAATATAAATGTGCTCTAGAAAGAACAAAGTACACTTTTAGCACTGTTAATATGTTGGGGTTTTTGAATGTTACTGAAAATGGGCTTTGATATTTGTTGGCTTAACTTAAAATTCTATTAAAAACCCTTATCATTTTTAAAAATGAAAACATACTATACTGAAGGAATGGCATGCAGTATTTAAAGACATTCAAAATTTTAAATTTTTCCTTTTCTTGTGGTATATCCTATTTTTACTCAATTTTTTTTCAGTATTAGTACATATGAAATGTACATCCTATCATATTAAATTCTATCACAATCATACATTGTATCATCACACTGAAGTACCAGAATTTCTTCCACCAGAACTGGAAGGATTCCTTGGACAATCAATAGAAATGCCTTATCCACACTGTAAGGTTCCATTTATAAATACCTCAAGCACATCTTTCCAGAACAAATCATACACCGCTCCCTGTGCAGTGACACAGTAGGAAGCCTGGTGTCTTGAACATAAGAAAGAGGGTGTCATGGTTTAGGCCTGGCACAGAGCCAGTGCCCCCATGAGAATACCCTCTCCCTGGTGTCTGCTGTGAGATGTGACCAGGAATAAGCAAAGCAGGCTCCAGCTTAGAAATAAAGAAAACTTTATTAACTAAACTACAAGAAAAGAAGAAAAAACTATAAGGAAAAAAAAAATTGAAAACCTTACAAAAAGCACTTTCCTCCTCCTCCCCACTGAAATTTCCCAATGCAATACATTTCCCCAAATCACCAACTCTCAGTCCGGCACCACCCTTTAGAATACTCAACCCTCAGTTCATGAAGAAGAGAGGAGTCCTTCTTGCACCATAGGCTTCCCCTGGAAATACGCTGAAACCTCGCGTGCTTTCATGTCACTCACCACCCGGAAAGTCCTTTTGCCATTGTGACATCTTCCCTCCACGCCCAGTGCTCTCACCACTGTGCATGGACCAGAGCTGCTTTTAGGCTTGTCTTTCAAGGATGCCTTGTCTCACTCCAAAAAAGGCACAGTCTCTCCTTCGGGACATGTGTCCCCCCCAATTTTTCACCCCCTGGGGACGAGGGGTACCCACACTATACCCTCCTGGTTCTGAGGCACTGCCTCCCCCTAAATGCAGTCTCTGTGTCACAGGAAAAAAAAATGGTTCAGTCTATGGCCACACAAGAAAAGTCCAGCCAAAAGGCCACTCCGTCATCTCTCCTCCCACTCAGCCAGTCTTCTCCACGTCCCTCGGGCCTAGTCCTTGTTATCTTATCTCTTATCTCTCTTCTTATTCAGTTCCAGGAGGATCAGCATTTTGCAAAGTCTCAATCATGCAAGAAAAGGGTTAAAAATTTCACATGCTATCACATTCCGTCACCGGCTCTCCCTCTCTCTCTCCTGGGGGGGGGAATGGCTGCCCGATGCCTGGGGCTCCTCCACCCTTCCATCCTGAAGGGCCTCCTCACCCCCCATCTCTGTCCAGGCCCAGGCCTACCGCAGGGCTGCCCCTCTCCCGCCCAGCAGCAGCGGCTGGAAGGGGGAGGGAGATCCAACCTCTTTGCCTCCAAGTCCCAAGAGAGCCTCTGAGGGCTGCAGGTCTGGATTTTAACCCCTATGTGTTCTCAGAGGTGTGTCCGAACCCCACTGGCCACATCAGGCGCCAATATCAAAATCTGAGCACCCATTGGTTTGACCACAGCATCCCAGAATTCCCAGTTACTTTGAAGAACTGTTCTTTTCATATTTCTAATTTTATTATAGATTTCTTTTACTAAAATATAATAATCTATTGCCTCTGCCATATATTTTCCCTCATGACTCAATTTTGTAATAAAAGACCTAAAATAGAATTTTCTTTGCAAGATATTCTGGAGAAAGACATAGCAAAAATATCAAAGATCAGAAAGAAATTTAAAGCATGCAATATTTATTGTTTGGATCAGGAACAATGAAGTTAAGGAAAAAAATTGTCATAGTTTGTTGTCCTTGTGTATGATCTTTGACAGTATAGATTTGGCAAGAATGCCTAAACACCCAGAAGACAAAATCAGAACAAGGCCTTGAGAAGAGTAACTAAAAAGGCCTTCTTAATGTCCTACATTACTTCTCTGAAACTAATCCATCACTTTAGGAAAGATGCAATGTCTACCTACTTCCTAAATTTGCAAACATTTGGAAAAACCATTGCAGTTCTTAGAAGATTAGCATATAGGTCAGACATATAGATGTATTAGTTAACCTCTTATGGCATGCCATTTCTTATCTTTCTCATGTGTGATTTTGAAAAGGAGTTTAGATAAATTAGTGTTTTCAGGAAATGCTTAATTTCAAAGTTATCAGTTGTTACTGTGGATAACATCTTTCTAATTTCATTTAACAGCATGGACCTAATTGTCACAAGGATATGCTATAGACAACAAACATTCCTTTAGTGTTGAATGACAAGTAGAAAACAGGATTTAGTAAAGATTCTGTAAGAAAATATCTCCTCCCTGATGGGAAGTCAATCTCCTTACAAGCAAACATCAAAATATTTGTACAGCCATGGAAAGTAGCACTGACAGGACACTTCAGTGCTGCTTTTATGACAGTTTAAAACATTTCAAAGGATTTTCTGCATGCAGCCCAGTCCAACCCACACCTACATTAATGCAATAGCAAGGCTGCAGAGCACGAAGGGACAAAATGTGAGGAAATATGAAAGTAGAGCTTACAGCAGAGCATTGCTGAGCATTCTGTGAATGATACAGAAGGCTTGCACATATGGGTGTTTGTCATATGTTAAATAATGTCACCAGAATGGCAGGGAGACATTTTTAGGTCTCTGAGAATTTTTTAACCCTCCTCTTTCCCTCAGGCATCTTCTAACTCTTGTTAATGCCTCCTACTTGCCAGATGTGTGCAACTATTCTCCTTGGACTGCAAGAATAGCTATCAACTTGGATCAGGCATAACTGCTTTATTTTGTTGTCACTTTCTTACCCTGCTTTTGCTACAGGTCACAGAAGATAAGAAGGACTCACAACCGAACACAATCTCTCCGCTTGCCCTAAGCCAGGGCAATCCCCCAGGCATTATATTTCTTGAACTTGAGGTAAGACACTATTGGAATATCCATTGATGTTTGCATAATTCTGCAGTTCAAGAGTCTGAGCATCTACAGCACTTATTAATTAGCATGAGCTAAAGTTTCAGCAGGAAAACACCATTTACACTCCAGAGAATGAAGACGCTATCCATGGAATTAATTGGGCAAGTTTTGTGGGGGAATGTAGCATATTTCACTTCATTTTAATAATGGCTATTCTTTCATATTTTGCCCTGTTTTTACCAATAGACCAAGTAGAATTCAGAGTCTATTTTTCAAGACAGATAGGAATCACAAGCTTGAATCAGGTCCTTGGCCTCCATTTAGGAAATTAGTGTTTTTATAACCGGGAATAAATTATTTTCATTTCTTGGTGGCACACGAATGTTTCTGAAATGAGGAAGAGTGCTACTGGAATTTGTCCTGTCTTGGTTCAGCCTACAGCCCATTCTTCATGCCTTTGTCATTTGATTATCTTGATCAAGGTGATTAAGGGCTTTATATTTTGCCTCTCCAATTTTCTGTCCTTGTGAATGCTGACATGGAGGAATAAAGAACAGAGAACTTCAAAGCAATTCCCACAACCCAAATTCAAACTACTACCTACACCAGAGTCAGAAAAAGAGTGTCAGTGAGACTGAGAATTTCTGAATCTTTTTAGGTTTTCTTTCACTGCTTCTCAGAAATGTGGATATTTTCAGACTACAGGTAGAGGAAGTTAGGTTGCTCTGGCTTTGCTCATTCAATATCCACTACTTTATGATGAAAGAGATTATTAAAGAAAGCTGTGATGTGTCAATGCACAGCAAAATTGCACTGAACCCAAGGATAAATGTGCACAAACCATGCATCTCCTTTTTCCATTCCAGCATTTATATATTATTTATGTCTGCAGTGAGAAAATGAGAAAGATATTAATAAAGTCTTTTTAAATGTCACTTAGCAATATTTCAGCATCTACTTTCCTGCTACAGGCCACTAACAGCAAGAACTTTATATATTCTCATTCAGAAGAGAACAATAACTTGACCTTCTGATCTTATCATAAGATATTATATTTATGCTGTGTTGTAATAAAATATAAAGATAAAAATTACATGTAAAGTAGTCTTGAACTTTCCTAGGGAGAAATAACAACAGAAGCCATACTTATGTGTCTATCCTCAGATTTTTGTCTTCTGGGCAGAGTGAGAACCTGAGAAAGAAAGCAAGGTCTCCTTTTTAATTTATTTCACTACAAAAATCACTTTCATTTTGTTGAATGCTGACTATGCAGTCCTCTATAAGTTCCAACTATTTTGCTTAGGAAAAAATAGTGTACCAAGCTGAATATGATGCTGTGCTGAAATATTTCCCTCTTTTTCCAGATATGATTCTGATCAACCCACCAAGCTGTCTAAGCCTGCTATACAGTGCCCAACAACATGGGTGATTATGAATTTAAGCTCTGAGCAAAGCATGAAGAGTGGAAAACATAAATGTAAACATTGCAATTGGAAAATGGCACCTAAGAAGTTTCTAGCTCCTTCAACAGCATCTGTTACCTCTGTTAGGACAGTGGCAGTAATTTTACAATGCAATTGCTATTGATGCAAACCCTGCATCAATTAGTGGACATTAGAGAATTAAAGGTACATTACTTCTACATGTTCTCAACAGAGTTACAAAGACCTAGATCTCTATTTACTTGTTCCTGGACAAATGAAGTAGCTGGGTAACTTGAATAAGAATTTCTTATTACAGCAGAATTAATAATATATTATTTGATTTCTTATTAAACAAGAAAAGAAGGGGGGGAAAAAAGGCACTGTTGAAGTATCATGCCAAAAATTTTTCTCTGCTTGGAAAAACAATATAATATACCTGGGGACTTGATCTATATAGCTTATTCCACTGAAACCAATTTTTTTTCTTTTTAGAAGTTTCTGAGAGCCTTTGTCAGTAATATGAAACACAGAAATAAACTTTAAATTAATGTTCTGGTTTAACCCCAGCTTAAGTACTAACTACACAGCTGCTCACTGACTAGTGCCATTCTTCCCTGGTGGTGTGAAGAGGAGAATTGGAACTGACTAGTTTGGATCAGCTGTTCTGGCTGTGTTCCCTTCCAGCTTTCTCTGGAGCTCCTCACTGGCAGACCAGGAGACACTGGAAAGTCCTTGACTTATAGTGAGCACTGCTCAGCAGCACACAGAACATCAGTGAACATCAACATAATTCTCATACTAAATCCATAACGCAGCACTGTACCAGCAAGTAAGAAGAAAATGAACTCTGTGTCCCATGTGAAATCAGGACAATCAGATGTTTTAGAGTAAAAAACTGAAATATCTTCACTTTCAAAGCAACTTCCTTAAACTGTTTAAACTGTCTTCAGTTTCAGCATGTCTCTGGACATGCATTCAAATTAGCTTTAAAGGAAGGTTTTGAAATCCCCAGTTTAGTTTTTACTAACCATTGCTCACAACCTTTACACAACTCTCTGAGGTCTGTAAAGCTTTCAATAAATAAGTTTAGGTGGAAGGACCTAAACTTATTTATTTATTGGTATAATGACCTAACCTGGTGGTATTATCTATCCAGACCAGAGGAGAGTGCATGAGAATCTGAAGTGAGCACCTTACACTGAGAAAAAGGCAGTATTGTTCCTCATTAAGCAACATTTTCTTCAGATGAAGTGAGTAAGATGAAGTCTATTAAGGCATTTTAGCAGCTAATTAGCATTAAAAATGAAACTTCCTCAGAAATATGGTTTCATTTCAATTTTGGTTCCTTCTTTGAAGGCTTTCTGTACAAACGTCTGGTAATCATACCAGTATCTCTCATGGAAACCTTTCAGAAGACCTTCCATCTTTCCCTTGGCCAATCATTTGTTTACCATCCTCTCTAGACCTGCTTTTCAGCAAATCAGCTAACAAGTAAATTTCACCAAAATTTTCTTTGTCTTTCCTACTATTTTGTTAGGCAACTTTCTCACAGCCCCAGTTTATTCTGGCCTTCTAACTTTGCTGTCCTAATATTCACCCAACTTTCTAATGCATTTTTCAACTGGTCTGCTGTCCATAGAAGGATCCTGCAGACATTGAAATTATGCATCTGATGGCACTGTGCATTTTTCAGACAAATACATAGACAATTTGGACTTGTCCTTTCAGAGATTAGCCATCTTATTCTGATTAAAAGGGCCAGAAACAGGAAAGTGTATGATGTCACAGAAATGCTTTAAAGAGTAGGAAAAAATGGATTTAAGCATGAAAAGGCCTGGATTAAAGAAAATATGAAAGTGTTAAAGATAATGATGTGTTAAGTAAGGAATACTTAGGTTTTATTAAGTGGGACTGCATTTAGCAGTCTAAAAGGAGCGTATAGAATCCCAGAATGATTTGATTTGGAAAGGACCTTCAAAATCATCTAGTTCTAACTCCATACAGCAACTACATTTATTTTGGATATTTTAACTGTTAAGTTTTCTGAATATATCAGGAAACATAACAGTGCAGGTCAGCTGTCTGTGGCCAGATTTCTGTCTTTTCTCTTTCCATTTGAATAGTTAGATCATTTCTTTCATGCTATTTTAAGTCCTTTGTAATCTTTTTCTTTTTATTGAAAATATGAGTGGAGTGCATTCACCACTGCTGAAAGTCTCCTCCTGGTAAGCATTGTCACATATGACATAGTCCGTTATACTCCATAAAACTGACACAAATCTCCCCAGTGTCTGTTTAGATAATGTAATTGAATTAATCACTTATAGCAAGCTGCTCATGAGAGGGATATAAAGTAACAAATGTCAGACCTTTGCCAGAGCAGAATAAGACATTATTGGTAAAGAGAGTTTGCATTATACCCAGTGGTGAATTTTGGAGTGGTCATCATGTTTATATGAAGATATATTTTGGTTGCTGAACTGAGAAAAAAAATTAAAGTTTACTTAATGATAAGATCAACTCTAAAGATATGTGAGTGGCTAGGTAATTTCCAAAGATTCATATGTGCTTTTTATTTTTTTTATTATTCTCTTTTCCCCCTTAGTACTTGTTATCCATAGGATGGATAGCAATTGAAAGTTCACCAGGATAATTCCATCAAATGTCTTAAATGGCATTGCATATGCAAAGCTATTCTGATAGCACAAAAATATTAGGAAAATCTCTCTCAAAATGGCCAAGTATCTCAGCTGAACCCTTATTGACAAATCTACAAAGTGAGGCCTCCAAAATAAGTAGAAGGAGAACAGCTTATTTCAGTTTCCTTTTCAATACTGTCTTATGTAAATTGTCAGAGAACTGTGCATTCAAATAATTGAAATGTGTGGCTAGCTACTTTCAGAGATATTTTAATTATTTTACAAAGAAAGATTATAGTCCTCGGTACATGACCACAGAACAAAGAATTGGTTAAATCATTTTTCTGGATGATTTGCATTAGGTCTCTGGATTTTGGACTTTTTATTAATGTAGCCAATTTTATGGAAGGATCCTCCCAGGAAGCCCCTGATGGACCTTGATTTTTCCTTCTTCAATGCCAAATAGTCTATGAACAAGCTTCTTTATAGTGGAAGATGAGAAATACTTAATATGCTGTAAAACATTTGATATGTACACAAGACCATGAATTTTGTTATCTCTAAGAGGTAAATTCTACTCTCAGTGTTCTGTCTTAATTTTTAATTCCTCTGTAATTGTAGAGAGCATTTCTGAGCAACGACAGTAGTTCTAACTTTAATACTCAGTGCTTGCTATGCAAGCACAGCACATAAAGTTAACAGATTGCATACAATATAAATTTTAAAGTATTTTCTTAGAAGTTGCACAGTCTGGCCTTTATTTCTTATCATAAATTATTCTATACAAAGGAAACTGTGTGTGTAATTATGTTAATCCCCTCCCAAAAATACTATTAAAGATACATCAAGATTTTGAAGTTTCCTGCATACTACTAAAATACTGAAATTTAAATCCACAGGAATTCCTTCTCACCAGACCCCATCCTTCCTAAGTCTGTCACCATCATAATATGTATGCCACCTTCTTTCTCCCTGACTTGTGTATCTGTCTCATTTTTTCCCCCAATAAAATAAGTTCAAGGAGAGATTTCCCCTCTGTCCTTAATTTGTCTATTATTCTATGGATTCTGTTCTGGTATCTTTAAAGTCTGTTTATCCTAAAGAAACCTGTTTGTTTTGAGTGACTGAGCTATTAAGACCTTTCTTACTGGTTCTGCAGATATAACATCTTTCACCTAAATCTTTGTAAGTGGATTTGTGCTCATGATGCCATGGTGTAAATTTGATTTTTCACAGCATAACTTGGGCCTATGCAATGCCCGTGCTAAGATATATGACTAAAAATCGCAGGAACTGACTGCAGAGGACAAAAAGGCAAGTAAAATATCCTCCATCCATCTCCATTTCTTTGGAAGTTTGATTCTTAAACATGATTATTTTCCTCATCTTCTACTTTCTCAGGAAGGATACATGACACTTCTGCCCAAATATCATGTAAATAGTTTTTTGTTCTTATGAAACTCTCCATGACAGCAGAATGCTCTTTGTAGAGCAGAATGATGGATTCTCTTCTTCTCAAGTAACGTGACAAATCCTATGGTAGTCCAACACTTTGACAACTTCTATCAAAGTCATCTGTTCCTCTCATGAGAGTAAAATATCTTCTCTAATATCAGGAATTCATGTTGCTTCTTTTTCACAGCCTTGGAGTAGTGTTCCTCCATTTTTCAAATGCAGGAGCATGAGGAAGCTCTAAATGTCTAGTTTTCAGAAAGCAGATACTTCGTGTTTCACTCTAAACTGTTTCACTTCAAGTCCCTCAAACCACCAGCCACAGTTGAAAATGTAGATGGAAGTCTCTAGAAAATCACATCAGAATGTGCAAAGGTACCTAATTATTACCTCCCTAGAAAGAGTCTACTGCAATAAAAATGTTCTCTACTGCTCTGTGATAATGAGCACACAAAGTTGGAATTGCTGCTGTGACAGCCACACACTGCTAGGGGTTCTCTATCAAGATTTTTATACTAGCTTAATTCTTGTGTTTTTCCTGACATTTTGAGGAGTTCTACTTTGCTTGAAGTTGCTGAGCAGCCATAGCTAAATATCCAAAAGATTTTAACAATCCTGCAAGAATTTTTTTGCTGAGTTTACCTGCACTAATTATGACCATTTTCAGGTACCAGTACTTACATAGTGGAGAACAATGCACATGTAAAACAGCAGGGAAACTCACAAAATAACATTGTTGATGAATTTGATAAGCCTTGTTGTCTCTACTGTCCTGATTCAGTCATTAAAGGAAAAAATTCCTACAGTGGTGCAACTGTTCTTATGAGAAAGAGCTGTACTATTTGAAGTTCAAAGAGATAGATAGATAGATAGATGATAGATAGATAGATAGATAGATAGATAGATAGATAGATAGATAGATAGACAGATAGATAGACAGACAGAAAGAAAAAAAAATAAAAGGACAGGAAGTTAAAAAATATTCCAGTTCTGGTACTTGGAATTCCCTCTCCCCCTGAAATATATCTTCATTAATATTTTGAAAGATGAGAGATAATAGCCAAATGGATAAAGATGCATGTAAATATATACATATGTCTATATATAGGCCTATAACTATATTAACAGCCAAGGACTTCAGCAATAAATGATCCTACAAAGCATCAGGGACTTTAAAATTTAAAGTATAAAGAGATGTATTCCCATCAGTCTTCTGATGAAATGGAGAAAGAATACATGTTTATCAATGCTGCCAATAATTATCTAGAGAAAGAAAGTGATAACCTTTATCATGTCAGGCTGCTTAACTTAAAATATACAGTTTCTGAGGTGCTGTCAAGTACAGTTAACTAATAAGGGCTCTGCTGGAATGCAGTGACAGTGTGCTGACAATCTCCAAGCCTGTGCAAGATCAAGGCGACTTACAACATTGCACCAATTATCTGTTGGATATATAACAGTCCCCTACAACTGTCATGTTTGCAGAAAGAGAAGTGGGAATGAGGAGAGACACATGGTATCATGGTCTTTGGTGCTCTGAACTAGGAATGTATCACAGGAAATGCTGAGGATGCAGAATCACTTCTACCTCCATTCTTCATGAGGTGCTGTGTATTTGACTGGCTGAATAGTTTGTCTCCAGGTGTGCTGGCTCAGACCAGTTAGAGAGCTGACAGGAAACAGAGTGATGCTGCTTGGTACAGAACAACCTATCACCAAGGGGAATATGAATGCAGAATGGCATGACATGAATCATTCTTTACACAGCAAATAAATAGCAAGAGCAAAAAATGAACCCAGCGTGTTTCCTAGCAGTCATCTGGCAGCATGAGAGGAAACTGTTGTAAATATTTACAGTTATAGTCCTTGGCAGTGAAATCATAGTAGGTATTGCTAGCAATGCTCAGTTTAACAGGTCAGCCAGTTGCAGTTATTAATCTGGAAATGCTGATAAAAATCATAAAAGAAAAAATAGTTGTCTTGGTGAAAAATTGAAAGTTAAGTATTTTTTAATACTCTAAAAATTTCAGTCTTACTTTGACTTTATTAATAATTTCAATTTTCACAGAAAAAATATTATATTTTAGGAGGTTTTCTATTGATTGAAATAAAAAAAAAAAAACTTTGGAAACACTGGGGGAAAATACATTTTCTCTTTTGCAACCCACCAGAAAAAATATTGTGCTGTAATTTGGCTGTATAAACATGAATTTAATATTCCATTTTCTTGAACAACCTGAACTATAAATTTCCCAGGCACAAAAAATTTTTCATTGTTCTATTCCTAGAATTATTTCAAATTATTCTAAAATTTCTTGCAAAATGCTGAAAATACCATAAGAAATTTACTTTTACTGGCAGGGTATACTAACTTGGGAAGATTAAGCACTGTGAATGTGTTTATGCCATAGGTTGTCTTTATTAATAAGTGAGAGACATGAGATTTGGATATGACTCATCTCAGATATAAAACACTCTGGGCATTCTAATTTTAGTTTAATAAATTTAAAAAGATTATTGCAAATGACTGCATGTCAATTCTTCCTTGATACTCTTCTGTGATACACAGGTGTTGCTTGCCTCAAGCTCCATTTTTGCATTTTTTCCATTTTATGTGGTAAAATTGGAATGAGGCCCAAGGAAAGTAATAAAATCACTCAGGAGTGAAAATCAATGTGAATTTGGTGACATGGGTTGTAATTTTTAACAGGGGATAAATTTCATTATCTTGACATGACTGAAAATAGTATCCAACAGTAAGGGGTGGATCTCTGAAGAGGAGTTAAACATCAGGATGTTTAACTTCACCGAACTTAGGGATTCTGTTTCAGAAGGTGGAATATAAACTCCAGTCCTTGAGTAAAGACAAGTTAAAGAACAGAATTCAGTTAAGTGCTGACCTAATTTATGCCAATGGGTGGCTGATAACCACTGGGAAATACTGAAGTGAGGAGGCAGAAATACATATCTTGGCTTAAGGGATGTTTGGTACCTAACCTTGTCACAGAAGAGTGAAGGAGGAAGAAGTTGTGGTGATCTTACATTTTTGTGTGATGCTGACACTTGCCTCTTCACCTTGTGTAAGGGGATGGAGACCAAGTCTGGGGATCTCTGTTCTGAGTAGTCCATTTGAAAACAGAAATCCAAACTGAAGTCTTCTATATCCCAAGCTGTAGTAGTATATAAAAAGCAGTCACTCTCACAAACCTTTCTTCTTGTCTATGTCTGTGTGGAAGCAGGTATGCTCAGTGTACGTGCTAGTTCAGATATTAAAAGTGACTTTGACAGGATTGATGTGTGTTGGGTGCTGAGTTTGTCAGACTTTCCAAGAGGCATCACATAACTGAGAGGAGAGATCTGGATTGGGTTGGAAGGGACCACCAAAAGTCATCTAATCCAACCACACTGCAATAAGCAGGGACATTCCCAATTAAATCAGATTGCCCAGAACCCCATCCTGCCTGACCTTGAGTGTGCCCAGGGATGGGGCATCCATTACTTCAGGTCAAAAAGCTGTTGTTTTATCACTCTTATTGTAAAAAACTTTTTTCCTAAATCTAATCTGAAGTGACTCTCCTTCCGTTCAAAACCATGAACCTTTGACCTTTGTCTTATCACAACACACCCACTAAAGCGTTTGTCCCTATCTATCTTATAAGGCTCTTTAGGTACCAAAAGGGTAAAGCAAGGTGTCCCCAGAGCCTTCTCTTTCCCAAGCTGAAAAATCCCAATTCTCCCTGCCTTTCCCCACAGGAGAGATGCTCCAGCCCTTTGATCATCTTCTTGGCCCTCCTCTGGACCCACTCCAAGATGCCCTTCCTCTCCTGAGAGATGGACACAGCACCCAAGGTGGGGTTTTGTGAGAGTGCAGTAGAGGGGAAGAATCACCTCTCTCAAATTATTCGTCATACTTCTTTGATGCAGCCCAGGAATTTCACTAGAATTCATATTAACTCTTAACTTAAAAAAAAAAAAATAAAGTCCTAGAAAAAATCCCGAGTCTTGTTAGTCATTTACAGGGAAGCAGACATTTCAGCCATAGAAACATTGCAGACAAAGGCTCCAATAAAACTTTAGTTCTGATAATTTTGTTGTAGATATTATTGCCATTTGTTAAATGCATTAGTGTCTTTTGCATGGGCATGAACCTTCTGTGGATTGATGCAGTAACAAATGTCAATGTATTTTAAGGACATTCATGTATATAGAAGTAAAACTAGAACTCAAGTATATAGAAGTAAAATTAGAACTATCTGTGATATTGTTAATACATAAAACCCCCCAAAATGGGTTCTTGTTCACACTAAAACTTTATTTAGCTCAGTATCATGACTCTCTGACGATGGTCCGCAGTGGAGGTCTAGGAAAAAATACAAGCACAAGTATGCAGTAATAGCTCCCCAGACTGTCTGTCTAGTCTCAAAGAAATTGCAGTTCTGGGACTTTCT